GATGGATGGATGGATGGATAGATGATGATGATAGATAGATAGATAGATAGATAGATAGATAGATAGATAGATAGATAGATAGATAGATAGATAGATAGATAGATAGATAGGACAAAAGAAGATCATTTGGGATGAAGGAGGAAGCCCTTCTCTGCAGAAACTGAGCGGTTTAGAAATAGGAAATATAAATAAGTACATAAATAAATGTGACAAAGTATGATTTGCCTATTCACCGAAATCCTTTTGCTGACTTCTGTCTTTTTTCTTTTCCTCTCCTCTTCCTTTGCTCAAAGATGACGATGGAGGCTCTGCACCCCTGTAAGTATAAAGAACCGTTTTTCTCCCCCTTCCTGGTAAATCGCCTCTTGAGGCCACTTGTGGGTGGGAAATTAGACAACCAGCTGGATGCGCCCAACTGCAATGACCCGAGCAGGCATGAAGACGCTTCAGGGAGCTGCCTCCTGCCTTGCCAGAACCAGAGTTAAGCCAGATGCATGGCTGGCTGGGGAATTCCAGGAGTTGAAGTCCACACATCTTCAAGCGGCCAAGGCTGAGGAAGACCGGTTAAAATTGTCTGTCTTGAAATCTCAGCAATAGCTCACAGCTGGTTGGGAAATTCTGGAGACTAAAGTCCACATATCTGTCAAGGTAGAGAGAGAGAGACACTGGCTTTAACTTTGAGGAATATGGGACTGCCTGCGGTCTCCGATCAGAGGGGTATGTGACAGGGAGAGCTTTCTAGTTGGTGTGTGTGTGTGTGTGTGTATCAAGTATCAGCATGGGTGTTGTGGCACTTCGGCTGCCAGTAGAGATAGCTGCAGAGTCAGACGGGGAGGAGGTGGAAGGAGACTTTGGAAGGCTCTGATAAGGAAACCGCATCAGGCAGAGCTGGGGCCTTCCGTCCTCCCACAAGTGGAGAGGCAGCTGTCTTCGGGGCCTGAGCTCAGTGAGTGGGAGGAACAGATGGGGCCCATCTCAGATGCACATATGCATAGAGAGGAAAGGAGAACAGTGGAAAGCAATAAGCTGGCTCTCAGGAAAAAGCAGACATAGACGCTAGCCATCCCCTCCCTGGCTGGGAAATAAATAGTAAGGAGTTTGGGAGTGGCCAATTGTCGCACACAACCATTCGTTTTTGTAGTATACTGCAAGCAATTGGGATTTTTTGGCTTTGTTGGGACTAATTACATTTGATTTTTTTGTTTACCCCTGTAAATAAAAGACCATTACTGCCCTGTTATAAAAAGGGGAGGGGATTGTTTTACTTGGAAGTAAACATTTTACCACTACTGGCAAAAGCTGGGTCAGAACAATAGGTCCTCGACTCTGCCTACTTGCTGGTCTAGTTTAGAGTTTGACACAGATCTTCCTTAAGGTCTGGAACTGACCGACTTTTCCTCTTGGTTCCCAGGAAAGGCAACACTGCAAACAACACGGACAAGAATGTGCGCCAGAGGAATGCAAATTAAGCCCGCAGCAAGGTAGGATTTCTGGGAGGGCTGAGCAAGGGCAGGGGAAGCCCCCCAAATATACCCCGGTTTCATCCGCTGTCCAGAGATGAAAAGAAAAACCATTCTTGAAATTCTGGATTTGCTTTAAGAAAAGGACAGTAACAGAGAAGAGAGTCGGCCTCTTCTTGGTCAGGAAATGTCATCGTCCTGACTGGTCACGACAGAAGAATTAATCAGTGGGATAGCTTTCCCCCAGAAGTTGTGGGTGCTCCCATTAGCACTCAAGAAGAGATTGGGCAACCATTTGAGCAGAAGACCTCTGGAGTCCTTTCCAACCCTCTTTATCCACACATGCACCCAGCCTTCCGCGCATGTGCTTTGGCTTGAAAACATGCCTAAATGGGAGGTGATAGAGCTGAGGCAGATGGGCAGAGCCATCAGCGATTTCCGCCTCCTGTTCGGGCAAACTGGTCTGAACCGGCAGAGTACCATCTCTCTTCATTACCCAACTAGGTAACATCATCAGTGTTAAAAAAGAGAATGGGTTTTGCTCTGTTTGTATATGACTGTTCTGAGCGGGGCTTCCCAAGAGCATGAAGCAAACTCCTGGTCCTGACAAAAGCCTCTTTTATTAATTGACTGTGAATTCTGCTCATTCACAGCCAGCAAAGTCTTTCAAAGGAGGATTTACAGTCACAGACCTTATCTGGCTTGGAGAGCTGCCAGGCCGATATCTTCAAACCTTGGCCAGGAGTCTCGTAGAAT